ACTTGGTACAAATATCAATTACTTTTCAAAAATTTATAAATAAGTTTCTAAATTGATATGAATAACTTTTCCAAAATTTATTGATAAAAAATTAAATTTCAAAAACAAAAATCTGAATTTATGAATAATTTATTGAAAATATCAAAAATTTTTAGCAAATTAGAATTTTTTGAAATTAATTTTTACATAATTAAATTACCAAAAAACATGAAAATAACAAGTTCACATGGCCTATCTATTAATCAAACATATACATGGCCTATAAACACCCACAAAACCAAACATATACATGGTATCTATTAACCAATGAGCCACTAGATGAGATAATGAGACCCAAAAATAGAATTGAACTAATGGGCCCAGTGATCATAAAGTTGATTAATTTTATAATTGATAATCGGAAAGATGTTAGAGTTTTTTTAGCAGAGGGGGATGTTGAAAACTAAATTAATGAAAAATCTCTATTTATTGTTTTTACATAACAAAAAAGAAAAAATAGAAAGAAAACTTTGAATATCTTAAAAATACTTGGTACAAATATCAATTACTTTTCAAAAATTTATAAATAAGTTTCTAAATTGATATGAATAACTTTTCCAAAATTTATTGATAAAAAATTAATTTTCAAAAACAAAAATCTGAATTTATGAATAATTAACTATTGAAAATATAAAAAATTTTTAGCAAATTAGAATTTTTTGAAATTAATTTTTACATAATTAAATTACCAAAAAACATGAAAATAACAAGTTCACAACAATCACTAAACACCTAAGGGACATTGTTGCCATATTTTGGTAAGGGTGACAATTTCTGACCCAACCCATCCAAACCACCTATCTACTTGGTTGTATGAGTTAACAAATAATAACCCATAATTGGTATGATGACAGTATGCCTCATTCCAAGAGAATGAAATATCTTGGAAAAAAAGAAGCAACTAATTGCCGGATATAAATGAACTTCCATTTTCTTTTTCACCAAAAAAAACTAAAAATAAAAAATATTCCATTCAATAATCCATAACAAGAGAGATATTGAGGATGGTGGTGACCAATGAATTAGAGTGGGATGGACAAAATGGAGTGGTGCATCTAGTGTCTTATTTGATAGGTATTATAATTTATAAGACAGTTATAAGCCCAACATGAGTTTGGTAAAAATTCAATTTTTGATAGATGAGTGGGAAAACATTGATAAAAAAAGATGACTGGGAAGATTAGAAAGATAGGATTAGAAATGAAATTATTAAAAAAAACCTAGGAAAAGCTCCAATAGGTAGGTAATAGAATGAGGGAAAGTAGACTAAGATGGTCTAGTCATGTGTAGGGATGGCCATATACAAAACCACTAAGAACTAGGAAGTTGATGTGTTTAAAGTTAAAGAGGCTAGAAGAGCCAAGGAAAGACAAAAAAGAACATAGGTTGAAATAGTTAGATATGATTTAAGATTTGGTATTTAATAATGGATATGGCACTGAATAGAATTGAACAACATAACAAGACTCATGTAGATGACCCCATGTAGTTGGGACAAGGCTTAGATAATGATGAAAAATTACAATTTATATGTACTTCCCATAATATTTAACTAAACATAAAATCAGTTAAACAAAAGTATGAAGCCTATTTTAGGGTTTTGAACTAGTCCTGTTATGAGAGAGAGAGAGAGAGAGAGAGAGAGAGAAGAAGAAGAAGAAGAAGAAGAAGAAGAAGAAGAAGAAGAAGAAGGAGAGGCAATTGTCGAACTAGTGAGATTGAACCCTACTAGTCAACCATAATCTATATTCTAATGTAATTAGAGTATAATGCCAAAACTGCCCCTACTTAAGTATGGGACAAGTGAACAACAAGAGTCAAAACAGAATTGCCACATCATCACATAACTTAAACCATAATGAAATGACTAATCTACCCTTACTTGACCAACTTTAACACTCCCCCTCAAGCTGGAGAATATATGTCATATAATCCTAGCTTGTTACATATATAGTTCACTCTCCCTGAACTCAAACCTTTTGTAAACAAATCTGCCTATTATTACCTGAATTCACATGTTCTGTGATTATCTTTCCAGTGAGAACTTTCTCCCTCACAAAATGGCAATAAACCTCTATGTGTTTTTGTTCTCTCATGGAAGACTGAATTAGATAAGATGTGGATTGCAGCTTGGTTGTCACAGTACAATCTCATAGGTTTGCCCATTGAGAATCCAATCTCTTGTAGAAGATTTTTCAACCATACTAACTCACATATAGTGTGTGCCATGGCTCTGTATTCGGCTTTAGCACTATTCCTTGCCACAATAGTTTGCTTCTTACTCTTCAATGTCACTAGATTTTCTCGAAGAAATGTGCAATACCTATAGTAGATCTCCTGTCAAACACTGAGCCTGCCTAATCTACATTTGTATACCCAACTATCTCAAGTCTTCCTCCTAGTTTGTACAATAACTCATGGCCTGGAACTCCCTTCAGGTACCTTACAATTCTAAGGACTGCATCCCAGTGAGGTACCTGAGGATTCTACATAAATTGGCTCACCAGATTAACAACAAAGGAGATGTCTGGTCTTGTGATGGTCCAATAGTTCAACTTTCCCACTAACTGTCTATATCTTCCAAGGTCATCAAATATTTCACCTGCATCACTACTCAACTAAACATTCAGTTCCATGGGTGTTTTAACTGGTTTCACACCTGACAATACAGTTTCATCCAATTGATCAAGAACATATTTTCTTTGGCACAAATTCACACCTTGTTTCAACCTAGCAACTTCTATACCCAAGAAATACTTCAACTTCCCAAGATTTTTTGTTTGAAAATGGTCTTGTAGAATGGCCTTTAGTTTGTCAATCCCTAATCTGTCACTGCCAATTATGACTATATCATTCACATAGACTACTAATAAAATCTTTTCGGCTTCAGAATCATAGCTGAACATTGAGTGGTCGACTTGACATTGTTTCATTCCAAAATTTTTCACTACTTCACTGAACTTTCCAAACCAAGCACGAGGAAATTGTTTTAGCCCATAAATTGCCTTTTTTTCAGTCTACACACCTTACCATCCTCTCATTGAGCAACAAACCCTGGTGGTTGCTCCATATATACTTTCTCCATAAGGTCACCATGGAGGAAGGCATTTTTAATGTCAAGCTGAAACAGAGGCCCATCATACATAACCGCCAAGGAGATTATGACATGAACTAAACCAATCTTTGCCATAGGAGAAAAGGTCTCCATATAGTCCATCCCATACAATTGAGACTAACCTTTGGCAACTAGTCAGGCTTTCAATCGCTCCACACTACCATCTAGTAAATATTTAACAATATACACCCATTTACAACCTATAACATGCTTACTTGGAGGAAGAGTGGTGAGCTCCCACGTGTGAGTATGTTGAAGAGAAGAGAGTTCCTCCTCCATTGCTTGACACCACCTAGGTGAAGGGCCTCCTAGACATCCTTGGGTATAGATATAGAGGACAACAGAGAAACAAACTAGCAATGTGAAGTGGAAAGGTAAGAGACATAAACATAATTGGAAATGGGATGTAGGGTACAACTATGTTTACATTTCCGTAAAGCAATGGGAAGATCAAGGTTAGAAGGTTCTAGGATAGAAGTAACAATAGGATCCGCATGCGAGGTAAAAGCCGAAGGAGATGCCGGTGTCTGTCGATGAGTATACACGTGCCGCATCGGTGGTGGTTCAGTAGGAATATGCATTGGAGGAGATGAAGGCTCAGTCATAACAGGAACAACTAGAATGAGGTCACCAACTGGAAGAGGAAGAGGAACCAATGGTGGAGATGACGGTACTCCAGGCCTCGAAGAGAATGGTACGGACTCAAAAAAGGTGACATCAGGACAGACAAAAAACTCTCGAGTGATAGGATTGTAACACTTATACCTTTTCTAGGTCTGAGAATAGCCAAGAAAGATACACTTAATAGAGCGTACATCCAACTTATTTAAACTAGGACTCAAGTTGTGAACAAAGCACACACACCCAAAGACCTAGGGAGTTAATAGAAAGGGAGACAAGGTGGGGAACAAAATAGAAAAGGGTGACCGACTATGAAGGATGAAGGGCATCT